AGACCCATAGAATCTTGGTTGTGGAAAGGGCTCAAGATCCTTTCCCCATCCTGCTCTGGGTAATGTGGAGATGTGCACGGCAGTGTTTTCCCAGGCATTCTCCACCCCGACTCCCCATTTTACACATCCATATTTCATTCCTGGCTTCATGTTGCAAATGTGTTGTCAGAAAAAATGGAAATAGTAAGAAAATATTTGGGGTGTCATACCTGTGTCTGACAAACTGAATGTTTAATATATGTTAGATCATACTCAGTTTGATTTCTTTTTCATAGTAGTTTATTTCAAAATTTCAATTAATATTGAAGATAGGTGGGAAATCTTTATGTTCACTTAAAGGGTACTAGGTTAATGGCTAGGAAACACTAGTCTCGATATTTGTTCTTTATCTAGAGCAGATATGTTTATCAGAGAAAATAATCAGTGTGTATATATGCAGAAAAGATATGAATAGTGTTCCCTGTTTACTAAAAGAATTCAAAGCCATTACTTCGGGAGACTTTATTACTAATTCTAAAAACGATGTTTTAGTATACAGTAGTTTGCTTAGCTATAAGATAGGACAAAGGTTGGTAAATTTTGCCAGATCCCCAAGAGGTCATGAGTTTTTTTCTGAACTCTCTGATGAGAGACACAGGTACTTGGGCTCTTCTGCTTACAAGTGTCCATTGTCTGAGTCACTAATTCCTGCTTGAGTAACACACTCATTCAACTGTCATTGTAAGCAGGCATTGACGGCCGTCACATTCAGCGTGACAGTCCTTGGCTGTTCCTCCTGCTTGTACATTGGACGTCTCAGGGTTGCTGTTTAGAAACAGATGCTTAAGCATTACTGTATTCGTTGAAATAAAACACTTGAGCAAGGAAGATTATATTTATTGAGCATTAGACGCACTCCCTCACCGGAGGACAGCATGGTCATGCATAATGGAAACAGTCAGCTGAATAAATTTAGGCGGAGAAAACCTGATTGCCGACCTGGTCGAGTGATTATGACAATATTAGTTTAGAGGGGGAAAAAAATTTAAGCCTTAAGTTTGGTTGTAAGTATTTTTGGTGAGAAAGGATATTCTGTTCCCAGAAGATTTAAATAATCTGATATCTTCAATAAAAAAACACTATCAGATTCCTGAGAGGAAAGATGCCACGATTTCCCTCTGTTATCGATGAAACTCTTAATAACACAGGAGAATCTGTCTTTATTAAGTTTAGAAAACTTCCAAGACATGTTTTATTCCCCAATTGAAATAACAGTTAGAGAGGTTCAAAAATGTGGTTTTGATAGTATCAGTAATATTCTTTGGTCTTTTCTCTTAAAAAATAATGTGAAATGTCTTTCCTGAAGAACAGATTTTAACATTTGATTTTTAAAATTAAATTTCATGTTTAAAAATAATAGACACCAGCACGGCTAATTTAATAAACCAAAGGAAAAATACTAGTAAAAGCAGCCGACATTCTGCTCTTGGAGGCATCAGCATGAACACAGTGGAGACACAGGTCAGAGAAGTCGCTATGTGCACCCATGCTCCCTGGCCTTGGCCTCTGGTGCCCGCTTCTCCTCTCCCCTCAAGAAAAGCCCCCCAGAACCTCCCACCTTCTTGTATTGTTCCCACTCCCAGCTGGAACTCTGGTGGGGTGCTGGAGCAGGGGCCTGGGGAGAAGGCATGTGGTCTCCTCCCTTTGGGAATGAGGGTGGCATGAGAGAGGTGGCCACTCAGCTCTGGAATCTGTTGCTGATGGGGGAGGACAGGGGTGCTCCGGTGCCAGGGTGACTTGCCCTAAGGAAATAAGCGACAAGGCCTGTGATTATTTAGGTCAATAATACTTAGTTGCTCTAGCCTGGGAAATGAAAGCTTCCTTTATGGGATGGCTTCTATGGATCAAACGCTCTTTGAATTGCAGACTCTGCTGTGCCATCTTGCCTCTCCATCCCTCCCTGAACCGGGCTTTGCCAACAGCACCTCCACCCACCCACCTCCCAAGGGAAGAAAGCCATCAGCAGCCCGGACCTTTCTCCTCTCTGTCCCCGACAACAGGCCCTGGGCTGGGCTGTTGCTGTCACCCTGCGCTGCTGCCTGAACCAGCCACCTGTCCAACACAGTGAGGCACCTTGGCCCAGCCAATGGCCTTTTCTTTCCCGCAGCAGCCCAGCAGGATTATTGGAGGAGCATTATTGGGGGGGTAGAACAGGCAGGGTCTCAAGGTGGTGGGAGGGAGAATTCTGGTGACCCCACCTGAGGGAAGAAATCCCCCTTTTAAGAGATTTATTTATTTATACATATAAGAACTGGGGTACAGGCCAGAGGTGCAGGGGGTTAGAGGATTCCGGAAACAGTGGGGAACAGGACAGGTGGATTGACTGGAATACACTGCTGAGGGGAGCAGTGGGTGGGTTAGGAGAGGTCTGCCTCGCCATGTGGGTCACCTCACTGGTGCTGGAGATCGAACTGGTGCTGGAGTGGCTTCAGAGAGCTTCATCGTGCTGCACTTTAAGCCCTTGCACAGCCATGGAAGGCCTCAGCACAACATCTTAATCCCACCTGAATCCATTCTTCTGTCCTGGGGAGGGTGAGGTGAGGGCACTTTTGGGCTGATTCCATTATCCTGGCACAGGTAAATTGTGCTGCAATGAACAGAGGAGGGCATAGATCTCTGCTATTGTTTTGCATTCTTTGCCAGATACCTAGGAGTTCAATTGCTGGTCCTGTGGTAGGTCTGTATTTAATATCTTGAGGACAGGACCCTCCATAACATTCCCTATAGGCTGGACCAGTCTGTAGTCCCACTGACAGTGTGCCAGGGCCCCCTTTTCACCGTACCCTCCTCAGATTTGTTCTTTCTGAGATAAATTTTTTAAAAAATTATTGAGCAAAATTCACATGAGGACTAATCAATTGAAAGTGAGCAGTTCAGGACACTTGGCACACTCCTGCTGTTTCACAACTGTCAGTCTCTGCCTAGTTCCAAAACATTTTCATATCTGGGAAGGAAGCCCAGCCCCTAAGATGCTGTCAGTCACTGTAGCAGCCAGAGATAAAGCCGGGGCCGCTCAAGGTCAGCTGGGACAGGCCTTGGCGTTGGATCTGGGCTCTCTGATTTAGTGACTGACATTGTTTTAACAGGGATCGTTGTGAGTGTGTGTACATCTCCGAAGGGTTAAGTGCTACTGTGATAATGAGGCCAGGGCCTGGCTCTCATCATAAGTTGGAGTTTCCAGTTGCAGACTTGACTGGGAACATGTGTCCTGCTGGCAGCTCATTTTAAAGGCAGGCAAAGGCCACGAGTCCAGTTGTCTTGTGCAAAATGCAAGGATCTTATTAAAAGCAAGTTATTATTTAAAGCAATAGACAAAAAAAAAATCTGCCCTGTAAGAATTATGTACTGGTTGAGGTCTCTGGTATACTTTTAAAACTAGCTTCAGATTTGGGTGTTTATCTATCTGACCTTGAATGAGATTCAAGTTTTTGCTGGCCTGATTTCATCAAATATAAACATAAGTGGATTGAAATCTCCCTGGACCTTCTCAATTGAAACTTGTGCTGCTTGGATCTTTAGAGTTTTTAATGGTCTGCCTGTTGCCCAAAAAAAAATTACAAAAAATTACCAAGCTATTTAAAGGGGAACCGAAGGTAAAATGATCCCGCTGATTTTAAGACAACCACTGTTAATTCTTTGGTGTCTTTTTATTATTGATTTTAAAAGGCAACATACACATTACACATGAATACACATCAATTATAAAAGCTCTAAACGCTAACAAAGGATTAGAGTGAGAACATGTCATCATTGCACTCCTTGCCCGTTGGGCAAAAAAATATGATTTGTGACTCTTCTGGATCCCTTACAAAGTACAGGAGGTTACGAAGAGCGTGTAATTCCTTCTAGCACAATTGGGAGAACTCTAGGCATACTGCCTGGTGACTTTAAAAGAAAAGATATTTCTTGAAATTACTGTCAATATATTGTGTGTGTGTGTGTGTGTGTTTTTTTTTAAATGACAGAATATTACCCTTCTTGGCTACCCCATTATTGCACAATGTTTATCATTTTGGTGAACACCGAGGTTTTTTTCGATGTAGTCCATGGTCAGCAAAGCCTCAAGGCCACGGTGCCAAGGTGGCACACAAGACACCCCATAGGCCTGTGTCTAGGGGGTATTTACACCTTCCCCCTTTGTTCTAAGTCTCCTCGTTCTCTTGGTGACTGGCTCTCTCAGTGGCTGTACTCCTTGGGCAGCTGTGTCCAGCTGTACGGTGCTTATCTTAGCCTTTCATTCACTGCCCCTGTTCTAAGTCTGAAAATTTATGTCTCATTTCACAAGCCTCTTTAACTTCCCCGAAGTTCCTGCCTATACCGTCTCGGAAGCTCACTGGCCCTCGGACACTGGTTCGCTGGGCACCCAGGTCTTTCCCTTCAGCTCCTTCAGGGTGAGGTCAAGTCCTTTACTTTGCAGGTCTTGTTGGCACAGACCCTCTACCTCTCCCTAGTGCTACAGGCAAACACATCTCCTGGCCTCATTTCCTTCGTCACAGTGAGAGATGTTTAGTAAGCCGGGGAAGAGCCAAGCTGGCTCACCCCTCCTCCTCCTAGGGATGACTCTTGCCCAGGAGGGAATCCTCCCTAGGGAAGCCCAAGTGACCTCTCACCTCCCAGGACTGGCAGCCTCGGCCCCTGCCCTAAGCCCTCCTCGCCCCTGCCCCAAGCCCTCCTCACCCCCCTCACTCCTGAGGATATGAGGGCCTCACTCCTGGTGGGTTCTCTTGAATGTTGTGTTTCCGGTCTCCCCTCTGACCCTGGGGCGCATGGCCTGTCTCTGTCATTAACGCACATGTGGTCAGTGATGGAGCACGTTCTCAACAGGAGTTTCCTTTAAGAAAACTTAAAAACCTTGCTTAATTTGACAGATGAAAAAACTGCAGTTTTTGCCTCTTAGGAGCATTACTCTTTGTACAGCAAAATGTGATGAAACCACCTCTGAGCAGTGTGTTTCTCTTCAGGTGGTGATAAATGGAGGGGCCACGTCCAGTGGCGAGCAGGACAACGAGGACACCGAGCTCATGGCAATCTACACGACAGAGAACGGGATCGCAGAGAAGGTGCCCCCCCCCGCCCCCTCCCCACCCTCTGCAGGGCTCAGCCCCTGTGCGGAACCAGGTGTGCTCCCTGGGGTCAGTCTCTGCCCTCTGGGTAGGGGTGCGGTGTGTTCACTTTATAAGGAGGTTTTTGTTTTTTTTTTCTTTTCTTTTTTTTATTAAGTAATACAATCCTTTTCCATCTCAGTTGTAATCTCCGTGGGCTTCCCATCACCAGGTCACCCATGTCCATCACCATAGTCAGTGCATTTCTCTCCCCCCACTGTTTTTGATCCCATTCCCCACTCCACCCCCATAAAATGTCTCTGGTATAAAGCTGTTCATTATTATTACTATTTTCTCCCCTGGTCCTTTATACTCCTGCTATGAGTGAAACCATCTGGTATTTTTTCCTTTTCTTTCTGGCTTATTTCACTAAGCATGATCCCTTCCAGCTCCATCCATGTTGCTGCAAAACACATGAGCTTACCTTTTTTGATCGCTGAGTAATATTCCATTGTGTATATGTACCACATCTTTTTTTTTTTTTAAAGATTTGTTTGTGCATACAGAACTGGGGTACAGGCCAGAGGTACGGGGGAGTGAGAGGCTTCACCAGAGACAGAGTGGGGTACAGAACAGGCAGATCAACGAAGTACACTGCTAAGGGGAGCAGTGAGCAGGTCAGGAGAGGTCTGCCACGCCATGTAGATCATCTCTGGGGTGGGCGGGGATCGAACTGCTAAAGCTGCTTTAGCTTCTTAGTGCTGCGCTTTAACCCGCTGCGCCACCAGGGAGGGCCCTGTACTACATCTTTTTAATCCAGTCGTCCATTTTTGGGCATTTTGGTTGATTCCATGTCTTTCCTGTTGTAAATAAAGCAGCAGTAAACGTGGGGTGCAGGTGTTCGAAGGGGTTTTTAATTGTCTCAAAGGCAGCTCAGCCGAGGTCCAGCTAGAGGCCTGTGCAGCCAGCTATTGTGGGGGCCTCAGCCTGGGGGTCAGGCAGCATCCGGTCTAGGTGTCAACATGACTCAGACCCCAGGGGAAGTGCTTCACTTGCATCACTCGCTGAGCTTCCTCCAGTGTCACAGGTCATTTTTCTCATCTTGTAGCAGGACCAGGCTAGTGAGAAAAGCTGCCATGTATTGAGAGTGCTGACAGTTGAGACCCCGCTGGTTGCTTCAAGCAGCCCCTTCCAGTCAGTCATCCCAAAAACCTTATCAGAAAGATGTCCCTGTTGCCATTTAGAGGTAAAGAAAGTGAAATAGGCTCTCTGCTATCTTGAATTTATATAAAGAAAAGGTCCCCCAGAGGATGCTGGCCTCTAGAATCGTGCTTTTCAGATGATGGCATCTTTGTAACGCTCCCCTAGAACACTGATGAGCAAGATATGGATGGGACGTTCCAGAAGAGGACAGGGAGCTGGGGCCCTGGACGTGGCCCAGTAGCTAGCCTATCATGGTAATACAGCCACTGAAGAGCACTTGACTCCTCTGCTCTGCTGTCTGTCAGCGTTCGTTACGGTAACTGCTGGCTAATGTGAGATCAGCTACAAGATTCCCATCTTTGAAATAAAATTCTCAAAATATTTTATTCCTGAACAGATCAGAAGGATAATGCCTGGCATTCGAGATAGTATGGCATTGGGGTCCTCACCCAGTACGCCCATTGGTATCATTGAGATTCTTAAATTAGGGAAGTTGAGGGAATTGAACTTCATAGTGAGGGTATTTGGAATATAAATGAGTAAAATGAACAAAATCAAAGGCCTTTTTTTTTGTAAGATAACAAATTTTTCTTTTTTTTTCAAAGATTTTATTTATGCATACAGACCTGGAGTACAGGCCAGACGTGCAGGGGCAGTGAGAGGATTCACCGGAGACAGAGTGGGGAGCAGAACAGGCGGACTGATGAAGTGCACCGCTGAGGGGAGCAGCGGGCGGGTCAGGAGAGGTCTGCTGCGCTATGTGGGTCACTTTGGGGGCTCGAACTCATGCTGAAGTGGCTTTAGCTTCTTAGTGCTGTGCTTTAATCCTCTGTGCCACCAGGGAAGGCCCCTGTTTTTTTTGTCTTTTTTTTTTTTTTTAAATGGTGAAAATTTTGTCAATGTTCTGCTTCATTGAAAAGAAGGAACTGTTGGCCCTCCCTGGTGGCGCAGCGGGTTAAAGCACAGCACTGAGAATCTGAAGCCACTTCCGCATGAGTTCGATTCCCGCCTGCAGCCTGCCCGGAGGAGACCACATGGCGAGCCAGACCTCTCCTGACCCGCCCGCTGCTCCTCTCAGCAGTGTACTTCGTAGATCTGCCTGTTCTGCTCCCCACTCTGTCTCTGGTGAAGCTTCTCACCGCCCCTGAGCCTCTGGCCTGTACCCCAGTTCTGTATGCACAAATAAAAAAAATTTAAAAAAAAAAAAAAAAGAAAAGAAGGAACTGTTAATTAACATGTGAACTTTGTGGTTATTTTCTGAACTCATTATCAGCTGAAGAGATTAGCATATTTGTTTATGGATACATGATCTATCTTGGATATTTGATTGAAAATAACCCTTATCCTGCTCCAGTTACGTTGAAATGGGATCGAGACTAAACAAGAAAAAAGTACTGCTGGTACTTGAAGCCCAGGTGTTAGGTATGGAGTCTTTCTACCTTTGTATGCACAGATACATAACACAATTTCAACAATCGTTGAATCCTCACACTTGCTGCCCTCCCATTTTCTGATGTTGAATGGAGCTGTGAGGAGACCAGAGCAACTCTCTGCCTTCCTTTAGTTTGTTTTGTGGATTCCTTACTGGCGCTCAGTGACTTGACCCTGGCAGTGTTTAAGATGCTGACCATTCTGAGTCAGCTTCTCTGGCATTTCCAGTGTTTACCTTCAAGGTTCATGTTATTTCAGAAAAGTTGTCTTGAATTACACCTTCAAATGTGAGTTCTAGTCTGTTCTTTTTTGGGCTCTCCAGCTGTGCTCACGTCGGACTCTCTGCCTTTTCAGCTGTCATTTTTTTTCGTTTCCTCTTACATTCACTCCCCATTTCTAACCTATAGCCCGTCCTCTTTTCCTGTGCTCTTACTAATGTTCTTTTCCTTCTTTTTCCTTTTACTTTTGTCTAAATTCTGTCAAGTCATGGGTTTTTGTTTTTTTTTTTTAAATTTTCTTAAATTTCTGTTTTAAGGTCTCCCTCACTAGGGTTGATTGTTTTGCATTTTCGAAATATTTGAATTTTTTCCCCATTAATTCACTGACTACTGGCAAGTTTTTCTAATTTGTAAACATGTCATTTTGGCTTCTTGGATGTTTTCTTAGTTCTTTGATTAATGAATGCATTCTGTTTTCTTTATCCTATTCTGACTTAAAAAATTTATTTGTTATTTTGGGGAAGATGTCTTTGATTTTCAGATCTCTTGTTGAATTGTTTAAATTTAACACTTTATTGTTTTTGTTTTCAACTGTTTAAAACTTAAAGTATATATATGTTATTTGCCTTCCCACGTTCAAAATACATGTTTTTGTGTAAATACAGGTTTAAAAGACAAAGACATTTTCTTTGAAGTACTTTTACCCATTCTTTTGTTTCTTTGGTTTTTAATTTCGGAGATACCCTTCATTGTCTGTTCACGAGACGGTTGAAAATATGAGAGTAGTATTTGTGAGTGAAGTTTGTGTACTGGTGAATCTAACCAGAGTTATAGGCAGCGTCTCCATGTATTAGTGTCCTATCTCTGGGACTGATCAGTTCCTCCAGTAAGCGATCTTCTAGTCTCCTCCCGGGTATAAGCCTGGCTTCTGGTATTCAGATGTATACAGTGATGTCACCATTCAGGCTTGTAATTAACCTCATATAACATTATTGAGTCTGAAGCCTTTCTGCTTACAGTGTTTGAACAATACACTTTCATTCTTTTTTTTTTAAGATTTATTTTTTATTTATGCATATAAGAGCCGGGGTGCAGGCCAGAGGTATGAGGTGAGTATGTGAGAGGGTTCACCAGAGACAGAGTGGGGAGCAAAATACACTGCTGAGGGGAGCAGTGGGTAAGACAGGAAAGGCCTGCTGTGCCATATGGGTCAGCTCCCAGGCCGGGATCAAGCTCATGCTGCAAGTGGCTGGTGGTAGCTTCTATGCTGAGGCTTAACCACTTGCATCACCAGGGAGGCTCACACTTTCTGTCTTGAAGCTTGACTACAGCAGTGGGTGCTAGGTCTCTTCTCTGGCTTTCAGCATAAACGTCCATCCTCACCATCTCCACTGTTGTCTTGTGCCTCCAACACAGGCCCTTTCTAGACTCTTGTTGGTCAGTCACCTTACTCTTTCAGATCTTCTCTACCCATGTTCCAGGTTGTGGAGTTCCTCCCCCTCCAAAATAAGTCACAACTCATCCAAGTGCTTTCCACAGTTAACATTGTGCTAACCTCATTTCATTTTCCTGGTTTCTTTCATCCTTGTAGATTTGTGTCCTATTTATACCTTCTGCTTATTTTTACACATGTGTGATCAATCTGCCATATGTAATGGGAACTCAAAAGCTGTTACTTTAAAGAGATAGATGAAGTTACTCTTTGGAATAAGTTAAGGGCAAAAATGAGACATATACACTATGATGTAAAAGGAGGTAAAAGAAATTTAGCGGGGAATATGAACTCCAACTTGAGGTAATTAATTCGCAGCGACAGTCGGGATGGCAAAATACAGCGTCCAAGTCAAATCTTGCTCAGTGCCAGCTTTTTTACATACAAGTTTTATTAGAGCATAGCCTCTCATTTTGTTTACATATTCTATCTAGCATGATAGAGAAGAGTTTGCTCCCTGCTGCTCTGGAGGAGACTATTTCCTAAAGAAAAAGAAACTACAACTGATCGAAAGTACCAAGCTAGATGAAAAAACCAAAGATGATATTGGAAAGATTATTAACCATTGAAAGGCTCCAAGCTTGAGACAGTTCTGAGTTCACTAATCGTTGAAGGACAGATCATTTTCTTGTTCTTTAGATTATTTTAGATCTTAGAATAAGTTGGAAAAGTCTTTTCAAAATGATGACATTAAACTATTTAACACAGTCATCTTTTTTTTTTTTTTTTTTTAAAGATCTAGGTAATAGTCCAGAGGTGCAGGGGTGGTAAGAAACAGAGTGGGGAGCAGAACAGGCCAACTGACGCAGTACCCTGCAGAGGGGAGCAGTGGGTGGGTCGGGAGAGGTCTGCCACGCCATGTGGTCACCTCTGGGGTGGGGATTAAACTCATGCTGAAGTGGCTTTAGCTTCTTAGTGCTGTGCTTTAACTCACTGTGCCACCAGGGAGGGTCCAACACAGTCATCTTGGAGACTTTTGCTCTTGGAGACTTTTGCTCTTGGAGACTTTTGCTCTTGGAGACTTTTGTTTTCACAATCTTTTAGAGGTCATATTTTTCATAAGTTGTGATAGGGTTTGCAGGACCCAACATGTTTCTTCTGTCACAGGAAGGACAGTTCAGCATGCTCTGTGAAGCTAGTGACTCCCTCAGTGTTGCTGTTACCTGCTCTGTTTCACACTAATACCATGAGCAGACATTTACATTTTGTATATGCACCTATGTGATTAACCGTATCTTAGCAAAGCGAGGCTTAAAAGTCTTTTCAGTTCTTCTCATGCATTTGACAGTAAAAACTAGCTATTTTGGAAGACACCTGCACCCCACCCGCATGTTTATTGCTGCTTCATTTACAATTGGAAAGACAGGGAAACAAACCAAATGCCCAAAAGTAGATGACTGGATTAAAAAGATGTGGTACATATACACAATGGAATATTACTCAGCAACCAAAAAAGATAAACACATGCCTTTTGCAGCAACATGGATGGAGCTGGAAGGGATCATGCTTAGTGAGATAAGCCAGAAAGAAAAGGAAAAATACTGGATGGTTTCACTCATAGTAGGAGTATAAAGGGCCAGGGGAGAAAATAATTATAATAATGAACAACTATATACCAGAGACGTTTTATGGGGGTGTAATGGGGGGTGGGATCAAAAAGTGTGTGTCTGTAGGGGGGAAAGTGCCCTGGACTATGGTGATGGCACACAGGTAATTTGGTGACGGGAAGCCCACGGGGGTTACAACTGAGATGGAAAAAGGCACAACATGACGTAAAAATAAACTATTATATTATTTAAAAAAAATAACTATTTTGGGATTGTTAGAATAATATTACTTAGATGGTAGTTGTAGCGTTACTGTCTTACTGTGACTTTGTAAACAGTTACACTTTCTACCTGTGAGGCCACAGACAACGTGATGGTGACTGTCCTTGTGTCCAGTTATACATAGTTACAACATGTCAATGAAGGGTCAGCTGAGCCCAGGGATTCCTAATACCTGTTTGGAGATTTCCAGACAGAGTTCAGTGATTTGCTAGGGCTTACAGAATTCAGAAGAGCTGAATACTCACGGTTAATAGTTTATTTCCAAGAAAACACAGATTAAAATCAGCATTGGTAAATGTTGCATAGGGCTAGGGCCAGGAAACAGCAGTCCAGGTTTTAAATTGTCCCGTCTCACGGAGTCTTAAGGGTAAAACCAGATCATTTCCCACAAATGATATGTGACAATACTCAGAGGTATGACCAACTAGGGAAACCCACCCATGCCTTGGTATCTAGGGTTTTCACTGGGAATGGGTCATATAGGTATGATTGATCTGGTCACATGGCCCAAGGCTGCTACCATAAATCACATTGCAAGCATAAAGTATTTGGAGTCAAGGTTTAAATCAAAGCTTAGTTGAACAAATACATTTTTTTTAAGAGTAAGGCTGTCCTAAGGGCTGAGAGCTTATGTCAGGCAAGAGCCAAACCTTTTTTTTTTTTTTTAATTTAGGATTTGGACAACACAAGCCTACTGAGTTAACCCTTTACCACATAATCACCACACATTACGTTCCTCACACATATACCTTCTCAGGCACCTCTGCCCACAAAATTTTAAGTGCCACACATCATCTATTTTAACACATCCAGCAATGCAAATGTGTCAGTAGCTATTGTTTGAATTGAAAAAAAGTTCTCTGAAAAAGGTCATATTCAGTCCATATTTGGATTAGATCAAATGTCAGTTCACACCAGACATTTACCTTTGGGCTTTAGAAGGTGAGGTTGAATTGCATCACTTCCTTTATTCTGAGGTATTTGGCAGACTTTGCCCTGTGCGTGGAAATTATGCAACAAACCCTTGGAGTCAACAGCTTTCCGTGGGCCAGATCCTTGCACTCGGGCTCAGGTTGGGTTCGATGTGGTCCAGGGTCGCAGTGTCATCTTTGACCTGTGGAATGAGCTTTAATTTTGTTTCCTGTTCAACACTTTGCTAGGTTATAAAATGACTAGAGAAGATAAGGCTCTCTGATTCCAGGAAGGGGTCCTTAGGGCTTTAGTTACCAGAGTAGTTTTAGGGCTACATGGGAAGCTTTAAGTTGCCTAGAATTTTCTGTGTGGCCCAGATGCTAGGTGAGCTCATAGGTGATGCTGAAGCTGACTGAGGTGTCTAAACTGTAAAATGTCTGGCCATCTTGGAGACCCTGGCTGAAAAAGCATGCTGCACTAAATTTTTTTTTTTTTAAGATTTATTTATTTGTGCATACAAGAACTGGGATATAAGCCAGAGGTGTTGGGGAATGAGAGGATTCACCAGAGACTGAGTAGGAAGCAGAACGGGCAGATCCACTGAAACACATTGCTGAGGGGAGCAGCGGGCAGGTCAGGAGAGGTCTGCTGTGCCATGTGGGTCACCATCCTGGCCAGTGGCTGCGGATTGCTTTGTAGTACTGTGCTTTAACCTGTTGCGCCACCAGGGAGGGCCTCTGCACTAAATCTTTGAAAAATTCTTCAGTTAACTTGTTATACTTCAGTTATACACAGCGATCAAAAAAGATAAACTCTTGCCATTCATGACAACATGGATGGAACTGGTAATGGATCTTAATAGATGAAACCAGCCTGAAAGAGAAAGACAAATACCGGGTGGAGTCACTTATACATGGAATATAGAAAAACAAAACAAAGGACCAGATAAAGCCAAACTTAAAAAAAAAAAAACTACAGACCTTGAAATCTGACTGCGAAATGGGGTAACCAGAGGGGGATGGGAAGGAAGAGGAGAAATAACAGAGGAGAGGGCCCAGGGCCTGCGGGGGTGGGTGCACTGTGGCTACCATGCCTGAAAAGAGGGGCAACCCTGCACGGTTAGGAAACAATATTGTAAAACAATATTGGTTCAGTAGAAAATATTTGGAAAAAAATTATTTTTAATGGGTGACAGGAAATTTAATCATGTCATCTAAATGCAAAACACATTTTGAGTCTGTTTGTGAGATGAAATCGTTGTCCTCTGTACACGTAGGAGTCTTCCACAGTCAGCCCGTGTCTGAGCTGCAGGGTTTGGGGAGCAGAGCACAGGGCTGTATGCTGATGTACAGCACTCTCTCCTGGCAGAGATGGGGGGGCAGGTCAGTACTTCCTTAAAAGTGGTTTGCATTTTGTTGGCATTTCTGCAGGTCAGTACTTCCTTAGAAAGTGGTTTGCATTTTGTTGGCATTTCTGCATCGAGGGACTCATCCAAGGCTATCGCTGTGTTCTCCCTCTGGCCATCTCCCACTTCACACATGGATCCCTCTCTGGGGAAGAGGCTCTCATTAGGTGCTTTGGGGGCTGAATTTGATGCCAAAGGTTACTCAACCCCAAGCTGGAATGGTAGATTGGGCTTGAGCACACAAGAGTGGCAGCTGCTTTATACAGTCCTGTTCTAGTAAGTAGCCTGAACCCAGCCGCTTTAAACTTCAGCCCTTGATGCAATTCACAACCCCTGTCCCACCTCTCACTTGTAGAGCTCTCTGGCAGAGACCTTGGACAGCACTGGCAGTCTAGATCCGCAGAGGTCTGACATGATTTACACCATAGAAGACGTGCCTCCCTGGTACCTGTGCATATTTCTGGGCTTGCAGGTAAGATGGTTGCTTTACAGTATAATACAACCTCCAGCAGACGGTTGAATTGTCTGTTGTCAGGATTTTTAAAACATTCAATTTTGACTTTTATCGATAGCTTTATATTGTAAATTACTCTTGAGACTGATGAGTGGGCCTCGTTAATGTCAACTTCATGCTAATGGAAGGATGTAAAGAATAGGAGAAGCAGGTTAACCAGAAAATGAAAGGAGGAGATGTTCAGGGAGCAAGTGACATGAAGGAGAAAAGTTAGAGACACAAAAAAGAATAGCAGAAAGGAGAAAAGCAGAATTGATTTTCATCTCCCATTTCTGGACTGCCCACAGTGTGGTCAACTCTGCCATGGAATAGGGATGACTTGAGAAGGTGTCATGTTGGCCAGGGAGGTTTCTGGGGTACAGGCCAGAGGTGTGAGAGGATTCACCAGAGACAGAGTGGGGGAGGGCGTGCTGTGCTTTAACCCGCTGTACCACCAGAGAGGGCCCTTCAGGCTAATTTTTAAAGGAAGAGAACTTGACAATGGTAGCTGCTTTTTAAACTGTTCCAGATTCCGGCAGAGGCCCCCCAGAGAAGATTGGGGGCGGGGTTATGGGGGCATTGGTTGAGGACAAATGGAATCTTGGGTATTTGCCCCTCCTCTCTCGTCCCTTCCCCCACCCCCATTCCAATTACAGATTGAAGTGAGGTTTTTGGAGAAGGGGGACAAATCTGAGGCTCTTTTGCGCAGACACACCTCCCGGGCCTGTGCTTTGCCAGTTGTTTTAGTTCAGACTCTGACCTAAGTTTGAGTGGTCAGCGCAACCTGCGGTGTTTCAGATGCTCAGAGAATTAGTTCCTTGCCCAGACGGGTTTATTCCCGTGAGGGCATGCTGTACCTGTCGATCTTCTGTGAAGATTTGAGTAGCAAGGAGCACTGCAAGTTGAGTGAGAACGCCGAGAATGTAATGGAAAGGAGAGATGCTGAAAAGGAAACAAATGAGGTGTGGTTTGGAGTGTGCATGTGCCCCTAAAAACCCGAAGCAAGTCTTCCCATAGGATTATTGAACAGCAAAGCCCGCAGGGGCAGGGTTAGGATCGCGGCAAGCAGCCGCAGCTCAGCCGCAGCCGAGGAAGGGCTGACGGTCCCCGTCTGTCTCGCTGTCGCCCACAGCACTACCTGACCTGCTTCAGCGGCACCATCGCTGTGCCCTTCCTGCTGGCAGACGCCATGTGTGTGGGGTTCGACCAGTGGGCCACCAGCCAGCTCATTGGGACCATTTTCTTCTGCGTGGGAATCACGACTTTGCTGCAGACGACATTCGGGTGCAGGTGAGCCGGGGTGCTACAGTGGGAAGCTGAGTCGAGTGTCTGACTCTCCTGGGGCGGGGAGGAGATGGGGGAGCAGTCCAGTGGCCTTAGAAGAGACCCCACGTTTTCCCGCTCGGTGGGTGGCACCAAGACACTTAGTTGTCCAAGCTGGAAACTCAGATCAACTCTCGGTTCGCCCCGTCCCACAGCAGGCAGGCAGCTTGGCTGCAGCACCCTCTCCCTGCCCTCCTTCCTTAATTCGGTGAGAGGATGAGGTTCCCAGCTGGCTCCAGCCGCCAGGCAGCTCTCCCCCACCAGACTCCCCTGTGCTGTTTTTCCACCATTTGCATCCTCCTCCTCAGTGCTCAGCTTCACCCTGTTAAAAACCAGGACGTGCCAGCCTTTAGGCCTGCCCTCTGTGCCCTGCCTTCCAGCCTGCCTCTCAGCCCTGCCACCCTCCTGCACTCGCCCTGGGGTGAGCTCCTCCCTGAGCTGGCCCTGCTGTTTGCCCTCCCCCCGCCACACCCCCCATGCTTGTGCACCCCAGTAACCTGTCAGCACTGCGTAGCCTTCCAGTCCCTGCTTGTGCCCTCCTCTGTGGGGAGCCCCAGCCCTGGAAGCTTCCATTCTCTCCTCCAGATTCCCACTCCTGCATCTGTGTGCGTTCTTCTAACGTGGCTCTTATTCTCCTTTGTTCTTTTTTTGTTTTTGTGTCTTTTCCCACTGGATGGTGCATCCCTCCTTGATGCTAGGGCTCCGACTGGCTCACCTTGGCCTCCCCGGCCCTCAGCTTAAACGGGCATGGAGCTGGCATAGGAAGAGACCTGTCCTCTCCTGCCTTCTCCTGCAGGCTTGCTTTGTCCTCTCCCTTCTTCTGCCCTCTTCACCGTCCAGCCTCTTCCCTTACCCCCGTCCTCTGTCCAAGGGGCGGAATCTTCAGGGAGAGGACTGTTCTCAGGGGGAGAGCAGCGGTACTCTCTTGCTCTCTTAGAAACAGTCAGAGGAAAACTTTTGCCTTTCCTGCAGGGGAGCGAGAGGGAGCAGGCACAGAAGGCAGCTTGGGAATCAGGGACTGGTGGCCAGTGATTCCGGGTTCTCATGGACCTGGAGGCTGCCCGTAGTGGGGCGCAGGAGAATCTTGAGACTGCAGAGACTGGTGTAGACTGTGGGGTTGGCACTGCGGGTGACATCCCGGGAAGGGAAACAGCTGCTCCTCGCAGCAGAAGGAAGCCGTGTGTGCTGTGGGCTGCAGCCTACCTCACCTCACCTCACCCAGCAGGTCCCCCACCTGAAGCAGGCCCCTGAGGGGCGGGGCCCGGTGGCCTGCACCTGCTGGCGGAAGGAGGTGTGTTCTGGGATATCTGGAGGCAGTGGTTTCCTTCTTAGAGCCAGATAGGTCAGTTTGGCTGGCAGTATCTTCATTCTTCTGATTTGTTTTTTGCCCACCTTTTAAAAGGACGGGTTCATTCGGAAAAGGAGAGACAGAGGCACCTGCCCAGTCAAGGTGGGCAGGAGAGCTCCGTCTTCCTTCTTTTGATTGGAGTTTCTGCCTTTCAAGGCCAGGGTGGATTAAGCCTCTGCGGTGGCTGACTCCGGAGCCTTACCGGTACAAGGCGCTGGCTCTCTGGGAAACGTTCTTTCCTGTAAACAGCTGACTCATCAGGGAGCCAGGAGCACACACCATCTGTCAGTTTGGGCTGTGCCTGGGGTTGGGAAGTAGTAGGTGGTCTGCAGGGGGAACGAGCGATGTGCTTACTGTACAGCCACGCGCTGTGTGCCGCTGTCTGGGCTCATGCCAGGGACGTGGTCCTGGGACCGGGTCCTGACCTGCCGCCCAGCTGGGCCTGGTGGCGCAGTTGCCCAATGGCAGTGCCATAGGGAGGGCTGGGCACTGTTTGATAAATACATTCAGGACCTTCTTGCCCATCATTGGGGCACAGGACCTAAACAAGCCCCTGAGGCGATTGCAGTTAACCCTGCACCCTGCACCCTTCCCAAGTGGCAGTTGTACTGAGGAAGCAAGGGGACCCAACATATCGGGGATACCCCAGGGACAGGAAGGAGAGAATATGTGCTGGGCACTGCTCACGCGGGCTCACAAACACACCTGTGCGCATGCTCCCTGCCCAGGGGCTCAGGGAAGCTTCCCTGGCTGCGGTGGGAGGTGTCCCGGAATCTGCCCATATCTGTGGAGCTGTGAGAAGCAGTGATCCCCCTTAGCGTAGTTGTAGTGGGAAGATGGTCCTCGCCTCGTAACCACGTCAGCAACTGTGTGATGTTTGGGGTGGGGTGGCTTGTGTGGAGGGCGTCAGTGAGGTGCTGTTTTAGGTCGTGGGTTTCCAGCTCACACCCCTGTTGCTTCGGGAACCACGTTTCCCTAAACTGCTGGGCGACTGGACTGGCCGTGGCTTGTCGGGGTGAGTCTAGGCCCTGCAGGGTAAAGGGCGGCATCGGGGGTTGGCAGTGGTGACCTGTGGGGACTTGAAGGGTTTGCATGGAGCAGAACTGAAGGGCTTTTCCTATTACTCATACTCTACAAAATCCCAAACCTATTTTAGGACGTCTGTAATATTTGACGTGTCTAAAAACCACAAAGGGTGCTTTGGAATAAAGGCAAAAATCACCCATAGGACCCTTTGGAGAGAAAACACCCTTTGTTATACATTATACAGACTCGTGTCCCTGTCAGCGCCCAGCAGGGGGGTCCAGAGGGAAAGGCTGATGTAGCCTCTACTGGGGTGACAGCAGCAGGACTTAGGTGGCCTGAGTGGGTAGGTGGTTGGTTTTGTGGCTCAGTACCCACTTGCTCGTGTGTGGAGTGGCAGAAGGAAGAATTTGACCTGGTCACCTTTCACATTTTCTTCTCTTCTTTTTTAAATATTTATTTATTTGTGCATACAGAGCTGGGGTACAGGCCAGAGGTGCAGGGGCGGTGAGAGAACTCATCAGAGACAGAGTAGGGAGCAGAACAGGCAGATCTATGAAGTACACTGCTGAGGGGAGCAGCGGGCGAGACTGGAGAGGTCTGCCACGCCATGTGGGTCAGCTCCCTGGCTGGGGATGGGACTCATGATAAGGTGGCTGTGGCTAGCTCCCCAGTGCTGCTCTTGAACCTGTTGCGCCACCAGGGAGATCCCCACCTTTCACACTTCCCAAGGCAGATCTCCAGACCCTTCCAGGCCAGTGCTTCCCTGTGTTGACTGAGCTCTGTATGTTTCCTTGTGCATTTGCCTCTTACTCCATCACTCTGGGTGATGAGGGTGTGTATGAGGCCATTGTGGGCCGTGCCTTGGGGCACGGCTTTTTCGAGGCGCTGAGACAGCCACAGTTCTGGAGCAGAGGCAGGGGACTGTGGAAGCCCCCACCTGAGTGAGTGTCAGGCTCTCTCTGCCCTCCCTTCATCCCACAGCCAGCCAGAGAAGAGCGGCATGCTGTTCCTGACGGCCCGCTTCCTTCCTTAAGTAACCAAAAATAATAGGGAAACAGGGAAGGCGACACAGACACGCCTTTGCCAGCCTGCGCGTGGGGCCCATGAGCCAGCTCTCAGGGGCGCGAGGCGCTGTGCTTGCTGAGGCCGCCTGCCAGCCAGTGGACCTTCTTTCTTTCTTGCGCAGCCCCCGGGGGTGACTGTGGCTGTGGGACCACAACCTGTTTTACAGCAGCAGACGTGGGCTTCAGCCCCGGTGGTTGTGAGACTTTGGTGACTGCAGCGTTTCCCAGAGTGGGGAGGGACGCAGTTTTCTGGTGTGGCTGCTTCTCTACCTCCCGCCTCCCCCTTGACCTTGATTCATTCATTCTCCCTGCTTTTTGCTTGCAATTAGAGCTTCACTGCTGAGTTCCCTTGAGTGAGGTTTCGACAGTTTTCATTCTGGTTGATGTGTGATCTCCAGCCAAGCTGCCCCTCGGGCCCCTTGGCCTTGTTCCAGGAATTCAAACAAAGTTGAAAATCCCCAGAGAGCAGCGCTGGGTGTTCAGCCAGCCGGCAGCCGCCCTGCCTCCCTGTGTCTCTGCCGTGCCCTGGCTCCACAGCCTTCTCCAGGAGAGCTGGTTTTGGGAGCAGCTCTGAGCTTCCCGGAGTGCAACTCCCAGGCCCCCAGTGTCAATGCAGAGCTGGGGGTGAGCGGGTCCCCTGGAGCCCTGTCCTTTCCCCACCATTGCTGGCCTTCCCTGAGAAGCCCCACTCTCGCTGGGGCACCGCCAGCCTTTTGCACCAGGTGTCTCTTGCAGGCCTCACTCGGAGCTCTGCAGCACAAGCACAGCCTGCAGGTGCTTGTCCAGCCAGAGGAGCTTTCCGAGGGCCATCACACACCTGCAAACACAGAACTGTCCTGTGCTGAGAGTGGCGGTGGCTGCTTCAGCAACTCGGTCTCTAACCTGTTTGCCTGCCCTGAAGCCAGAGCTTCGTCTCCACCTCCCCCGGGTCTAGGGACCTGTACGTATGGGCAGCTTTATGACGTCTGAAGATCCCAAGTCCTGGGCTTTGAGCTCTGAACTGTTGATAGAACTTAAGCAGCATAGAAGAATGCAGTGATGACATTGGGGAAACTGGGATTTCCCATGCATTTCCTTCTGTTTGTGTGTGTGTGAGGAGTCTGTGTGCACTTCGGAACCATTTGAAAGTGCAGTTGCAGCCTGCCTGCCGGGCCCCCCCCCCCCCCCCCAGCACACTGCTGGACTGAGAGGTCGCTCTGTGCCCATTTACTGTACCTGAGCAAATCAGCAGGTGTTCCCTTACCAGCTGATAGGCAGTCCAGATTTATTTAATTTCCCAAGTCATCCTTTACTGCTCTCCCTTCTTCTCTGTGAACCCGGATCCAATCAAGTTCATCTGGTACCTTTGTTTGTTGTGTCTCTTTGGTCTCGTAACAACAGTCCTCTCCTTTCCTTGCCCATCATCACTCTGAGAGCCCAGGCCAGTCATCACGTCAGTCGTCCCGTGGTTGGCCTGCATATGTTTGAGCGTGTCCTCATGGGTGGTATTGACTTTATTGCACGTCCCCATACTTATGAGAAACTGGAAG